CTCTCTCTCTCTCTTTCTCTCTCTCTCTCTCTCTCTCTCTCTCTCTCTCTCTCTCTCTCTCTCTCTCTCTCTCTCTCTCTCTCTCTCTCTCTCTCTCTCTCTCTCTCTCTCTCTCTCTCTCTCTCTCTCTCTCTCTCTCTCTCTCTCTCTCTCTCTCTCTCTCTCTCTCTCTCTCTCTCTCTCTCTCTCTCTCTCTCTCTCTCTCTCTCTCTCTCTCTCTTTCTCTTTCTCTCTCTCTCTCTCTCTCTGATCTATCGTTCATCTCTACCCGTTTACTCGTAAAATGCAAATCCGAGTAACGACCGTACGCTTTAAGCCAGATGGTTGAATGGATCATAAAACGCAGCTAGAGACTACAGCCATGACAATTATGTCAAAGCCCGCGTGCTACGAATAATATTATTATTCCTATCCCCATTTCTCTTTCCCGTATACTTCTCATTTAACGGCCGTGTGTAAGAAACGCGCCCTAATGCCGGCCTACATCCGTTTTCACTCCCCGGAACAGCGAAAGCTCGCATGCAGGAGGGGCACGCTTTTATGAGAGTAAATCCTTCGTCGATTGTCAACGTATCGCTCGTACAGCGAGTTACAAGCTCTGAGTAACTCGAAATGCTATTTGATGTAATTACGTATTATATGAATTGATAAGAATTTAAAATTATAAGTTTATAGTTTTAAAAATTAAAAATTAATTTTAAAATTATAACAAAACCAATTATATAATTTATCAAATTTTTATTAGATATTGGTTAAATATATATTTGTGATAAAAATTGAAATAACATGGTTTCTCGGTCATGTCTGGAGAATGTTTCATGAAGGATGTCACCGTCATGGAATTGTGAACAAAAATGTATTACTTAAAAGTTCACTGTGTAACGCTTTTTTTTTATTATTATTCTCAAAGAGTTTATTTGTAGACTCATAAACAGTAGTGCTCTTCTATTATAATTCCTTAATTAATTATATTATTAATTTGTGCGCGCATATATATTAAATGTAAGCTAATCTCGACATGTATATAATTACAGTCGATATATTTTTTGTTCATTGCTTTTTATATTAACAGATTTATGTCCGCCAGAAATTTTTTTTTTTTAGTGGATTTACATAGATGTTGGCAAAAAAAAAGCGCGAGCCTCGTTTCTTACACTTTTTTTTAAGTGGAAGGAGGAAAGTTAGGCGAGAATGTTTCAAACTACCAATTTAAATGCCGATCCGATGAGCCGGCCAATATGCCTCGCAGAGTGCAAGGTTATTAAGACATAGTCTGGTCGGCGGCACACGGTCGGCTAGTTTAGGTAGATTGGTCCAAGGGACCAGTGCATTTTCGAGAGCTCATTGCCATCGCGACGGTAGGCTAAGCTTGACCCGGGATTACTCAATGATTTGTTCTCGCAGTGTTGGAAACGCTCTGCTCTCATTACAAAGTAAGAAATGACTTTGCATCTCGCGACTGCGGTAAAAATCTTTTTTGTAGTTTATACGGAATGTGAATTCGAAACGAGATATATTTCATGAAAAATATTAAGAAATATCAAAAAATATTTTTTTTATATTAAATTCTCTAATGTAATAAAAAAAAAAAGAAAAAATACGAATGAAGATATATATATTATATCCAGTATAAAATCTTTTTATACTACTCATTTTCGTATATCTTGTACAAATATTACTAATGATTGCAGTTGTAGATCTTTGATAAGTATTTTTTTTTGTGATATCATTTATTTTTATAATAAAATTGTGTAAAAAATGAATAATTTATAATAGCCATCGCGAGAGAATTTTTGACTTGCTTACAATCGTCATTCTTTCAAGTCTTTTATAATTTTATTCTGAATATTTTTGGCACGCAACATCGGCTATTTCTGTACCAATAAATTCTGCAATGTTTTCGGGTTAATGTCGATTTTGGCATTTCTGTTTCGGCGAAAGGAGAGCACTAACCCGACCGTAGGCAAGGACGAGTGCTCGAGGCGCCGTCGAAGAAAAACAATAAAACGAGAATTGGCACGTCTGGCGAAACAGTTGAGTGCCGTCAATTCATCTGGCCGACTTGCCAGGACGTGCATCTAACTATCGCATTATATGCACGAATTATCGTCATACGTCTCTGAGTAACGCGGCTCTGACAATGTCACTGACACATACTATGTCCATCAAAAATACTTAAAATAACAAATATATAAGAAAGTTATGACGTCTTTATAGAGATTTATTTTTTTAAATTTTATTATAAAAAATAATTATATTATTTTGTGTGTCCGTGTTGGTTTGACACAAATTGCCAAAATCTTTCAAAATTCTGTTAAATTATCAAGCGTGACAATTACAGATAGTAAAATCTATTAGAATAGATTAGATTAAGAGCTACGATATTGTGATAATCACATAGTTTTTGTTTTCAAAATATTAGGTAATTAAATATACAACTTAAATGGACAACTTTATTAAGAGAAGATTGCTGTTTACCTCAAATGCAAATATATTATTTTTATTTTTTTTTAGAAGAAATATGCATATAAATTATATCTTCTTATATTAAATTTATATTTTGAAGTTTGATTTTTAATTACATTTAAATATATTTTAGAAACAAATATATAGCTTTCGAATATAATCTTTACATATACTTATTACGAAAGCAATATCTCGTAGAAAGATCTTATTGTTCAATTGTCGTTTGTGCTCTCCATGAAATGCATTCTGCTATCGATGCAATGGCGCCGATTACTTAAATAAATTTTTCCTTGGCATCCTTTCGATCCGGTTGGCGACAAATAAGATAACCCTTCCTTCAGTTTCACGTTACAATTGCCTCAGTTATCGCAACTGACACAAAAACCGTGGCACAATTATAATGATCTATAAGAACAAAGCGTATAAAAAATTCTGTATGTATATATATTAAATTTTATTCGTCCTGATACGATTGCATTGCGAGATATCGATAAATATATCCGTAAATGTAATTTTGGTAAACATGTTTTTAAAACATGTTATTTTATTGCCACGGCATGTATGAGTAACGTTCCACATATAACATTTTTCAGAAAGCGATCGCGATATATCGAACAAAAATTATTTGTGACATCATACATGACAAAGGTAAAACTAATGAATAAATGACGTAGAGAAGCTGACAAAGTTTGACAGATATTCATAAAATTGTCGACTATGATATTGAGATTTCATTTTGTTTTCATGTTATTACACGTGATAGATAATTAAAAGCATGTGATTTACCATTTACATTAATCATGATATTAACATTAATAACAATATGTTGAAAAGATATTACATTTATAATCGTTAAATTCTGTATACATTTTATTCTGCTCTGGCGCAAAGCATGATAAGCACGATACATAGGACAAATTCTACAATGTTACTCCCACAGTAATGTATTTGTCGATCATTAATCACTAATGATAAGTAATGATAAGTGATAATTGTATTTACAAAGTTCCGTTCTGGTTCATAGCACAAATGGCGTGAACCATTGGATACGGATTTTTGGCATTATCAATGTGCTACGTATGCATGAACTCTAGATATAGTTTGAGGTAGAAACTTTGCACTAGTGATTTGGAAAACCAGTTTGATATGATGATTAATGGCGCGTGTATATTGCGAAAAATATTTTTCTTTATCCTAGGGTTGTACCAGAAATCGGCGAAACCATGACCGATGATTTTAATTAGCAGGCAGAACAATAATCGTTTTGTGCCCCGAAAGTTTATCAGCTATCATGAATCTTGTATTGATTAAAGAGAAAGAGAGACGCATCGTCGAACACAATTTAATAAAATGCAGATTAGTTACTGCAAAAGATATAGATTTATCGCGTAAACTGACTTTAAATATAATTTGAAGCGCATAATGCATAAAAATAGTAAGGTGCTTATCTTGTGCAGACACACACATTGAATGCTTCTCTTTTTGGAAAGTTGTTCCTTCGTCTCTTTTCAGTTTTCAATAAATTAAATAATTAAAATTGCATCTGAAATAAATCGCTTATATTTAGTGAGGAGCAAAGAAGGAGAAATAAAATGTTATTCCGTGCTCATCGAAAAACCGTTTATTTCATGGAATAAATATTTTTCTATCTATGCTACCTATCTAGGAAGTACACATTATACATATAAGTATGCATTTTTTTGCCGTCCTCGTTCATATATTGGGAAAGATATATTTATATATATATATTCCATTATTTTTTAATTATTGGTACACTGACAAACAAACGTAGAATGGGTACGAAGGAAAACAACATGATGAGAGAAGGAAGAGGGATGAAAAGGATAGAGGACAGCTTGACAGGGAAAAGATGAGTTACAAAAGAATCGATTTTTCAAGGAGCTTTTTCTTACATTCTAATGATTGCTTTATATAAAAATCGCAAGGAGTTTTTTTATAAACTCGTACGTCTATGTGTTTTTTTTTTCCTTTAAAATCACATAAAGTTCAGGGACGGTGCGCGCAAGTCGATCGTGTATCGTATACTATTTTACAAAATGTAGAGAGAGAGAGCTACAGTGCACTTGACTCGAAGCCGAGGGAAAAACGTGGAATTAAATGTTTGTATAGCGCAAAAAAATGTTTAGCATAAATTTTTTGAAGATTGCTATATAGCAAATATAAAGATTAAAATTAATAGAATTTCACTTCTCGATGCTACAAGTTCAGATAAATGTCACTTCATCGCGTTTTTATCGATTAAATACAAAGACCTAAATTCATCGAAATTTTACTGGTTTCAATCGCTACATATAACTAGAATTGTTTAAGCGTCGGGGAGATATGTCTATACGTATTGTAGCACACACCCATACATCGATCCTTTCCTTCATCATGATATAATTAAGGATTATGCGAGGATCAAAGACGAATCCTAATGAATCTATGAAAACTAATCGGACTTCAAATTACGCTACTTGTCAAGGGATCCTTGGGATAATCTCGTCCGAAAATATACTTGTAAATCTCAAAGACGAATCCTAATGAATCTATGAAAACTAATCGGACTTCAGATTACGCTACTTGTCAAGGGATCCTTGGGATAATCTCATCCGAAAATATACTTGTAAATCTTTTAACGTTACATAATGCGTGAAACAAGAAGGGACACATGCCAAAAAAAAAGAACGTCGTTATCCCTTCTTAATAAATGCATCTCCCGACGCGTTAAAATGCAGCTATTAATACTTAATAAATCATGAAGAAAGCCATGAAAATCGGGCGCATTTCGCGTTCGTTGCGCGAATAATATTTATCTAGAAAGAAACGTTCGATACTTTTCGCGATCGTAAATATGCGAAATTTCCAATTTCCGCCGTATAAAAGAATTTCGAACGCCGGATATCGCGCCGTGTGTGTAATTACAATTTATTTAAAATCGTACTCGCGTTTTAAAAAATCGGAGGACAGAGCCACCGATATACCAGATCCTTGTCGGATCCTTCCAGAACCCAGGAGTCTTAGCGAAGCAATACACTCTCTTGCCTGTTACAATTTATTTACATAATTCGACACGCTCTCTCGCACACGCACTCTCACAATTTGCTAAAAAAAACGATCATAATGACAAAAACTATATATAATATTGTAGAAAAACGAGGGAGGATGAGGGAAGGGGAGAGGGAAAACCATTAGAAGAACAACGATTTTACTGTACACCGAGATCTGTTGGCCAACACGTTTCCATCGATCGTCGACGATCTCGATTAGTGTATCTTGTTTCAGATATAAAGAAATGAAAGAGGCAAGAATACATTTTTTGAACACAATTTAGCTATATTGAAAATGATCGCGAATTGTATTCTTTGCGATTTATTTAAAGTCTCGCGAGAGTGAAAATTTCAAAGTTTTGTACTGCTTGTGACAAAACCGTGTTAGAATTCTACGAATATAAAAACGTAGTAGCTTTGAAATCCATAGTATTATAAATACCCCAAGCTCTCGCTCCTGTCTTCGAGGAATAGAAAATCCGTGTCTTGGATACTCATAATCCCGAGGTCGTACACGTGGATCAGGTGCAAACGTATCGGCGTCTTAAAAATAATACCGTGACTCTAGGAACTATCCGCCTTGCCATGGACCACCGTCGGGATATCTGCCGCTTACGACACGAGACCCTCCTTGGCATCCAGCGCACAGTCTTCGAGGAGATCCTCGCGAATCACCACCCGCGCACTTTACGTTTCTGCTCTCTCGCGCTTCGAAGGGATCCGCATCGCGCGACCACTCTCCGAACAAGGCACTTTCAGTCTATCGGATGAGGAATCGCCGAGAACGCGGCGACGACAATTGACGACGATTGATGAGGGCAACGACGATGATTATCGGAATTGATCAGAAGGAGAGCATCGCGGGACGTTGTCTCGTAGGGGGCCCTCAACGGCGTCGTCCACGTCGCTCCCGTCATTCCGTCCGACTCGTAGGTGGACTATGAGCAGCCGCACTTCTCGACTACCATGCCCGGCAGTCGCGAGAACACTATCTGATACTCGTTGTCGAAGTACAGCATTGTGATCTCGGACAGTTTCCTAGGCGCGCAGCATGGCCCGGTATTGTTCGGTGGTTCCGCCAAACTGACGATGTGCGTGTTGGGATAGGCCGGAAGAAAAGCCATCGGACAGTCACCCGAGCAGTAATTGGCATCGTATCTGCGACACAAACATTTACGGAATCGATTGTTAATGCAGAATCTACTAGCGCATCATTTATCGATGAGAGACTCATTTTAACTTCTCGAACCTTATTTTTTTACTAATTTTAGAAAAATATTATTTTAAGGCTAAAGTAATCACTTGATAAAACCTATCTTAGGGAGGTTTTTTTCATCTTGAAAACAAATATATTGGTAATGCAAATAATTTATTTATTTATTAAAATATATGTTAAACTAGTCGCAAACTACGTCAAACTAGTGCAAATTTTAATTAAAACTTGTTTATAAAGATAATGTAAATAGATACAATCAGTTTTGCGTTCATTGCTTTGTATTCTACGATAAGTGTCATTAATGTCATATGTCATCATAACAAATTAGCTCGAAATATACATATGTGTGAGCGCAAGCAGTGCATAGGAGATATTTTTAGATCGAACGTGCGTAATAACAGTTTAGCATTGTTGACATAAAGATTGTTCGTGCCAGCAAGAAAGTTACAGTTTCTGCATTGAAGCCGAGTTTGACTCAAATATTTTCTTTCATCGGAGAAGTCTGTACGAGTACGTGCTTAACTAACGACGCATTAATCCTTTTGCGAATCAGAATATACCTATATATGTATATTCTCGTGGAAATATACGTTTTAGAATATCCTACTGAATGGGCTTAAAATATATCGAGCTAATAATTTAAATGAAGGAGTTCACTATCATTTCCGATATATAAGAGAGATAAAGATAAAACGAGAGAGACTTCTAGTAAAATGTATTTTGTGCATTTATCCTTAAATCTGATTGTCTGACTTGATTTTCATATAAAATAAAAAGTGAATATATTTAAAATGTGGCTCGAAAAATGTGAAAAAAATAACAACGGTAAAGAAATAGAATTTATAATTGACCGATGCAAACCGGCTTTTTATAGATTAAAGAATCTTGACAAAAAGAAAAAAAAGGAAATCGAAAAATATCATGCACTCACTTTTTGGGTGCGATTATCCAGTCCCAGCCGAATTTTTCAAAATCCACTGTGAGCTTATACCGGCAACACCTAGTCTCCTGGCTGGCCTCGTCGCAATTGAGTCCCACGTTTCTCTTGATCCTGGAGCTTCTTCGCGAATCGAGTTCCTGCATCTGCACCTCGAGATACGGCGCGTACTCGGCGCCGGGATTAGTCTCGACCAATCGGGCCGAGTTCCTGCGATGATTCCCGCCGGGTCCGGTGATCTTCAAGGCTACACCAAGATTGTCCCGGGGATGTTTGAACCACTCGGCCACCATTCGTCTGAGCTCGATCGTGATCCAACCACCCCGTCGTCCGAACGGCCGAGGGTGCTTCGTGGTGAGAGGTGGACCAAGCAGGGGCCCGCCGGTCTCAGTCGCCCCTCGAAGAATCCTCTGCAACGTGATCGTCACCGGACCAGCATCCTGGCTTTCCAGATCGATCGACTCGCCGAGCTCCGCTGCTTCTTGATTTCCCCATATCCACAGGGACAATTCTGCTCTGGTAACGCGATGCTGAACGACTTTATCGGAGAATTTAAAGTACAGCACGTCTAAGCTGCCCTTTGAGTGCCTTAACCTTTGATCTGAAAAAAAAAAATATATATATATATATATTTATTTATGCATGTATAAAGCAACTATATTAATAACTATTTAATATGTAAGAAAGAGATATAAAATTTTAAATTTCAGACTAATGCATGAGATTGAAGAAACATATTTTAAAATTCTCTTTTTTACGAGATTGAAAATAAGAACACCGATTACATAAGATCTTTAATTGCACACACGACACTCAGATATTCATCTTCAACGCCTTTTCTCTAAATATTATAATTCTCAATCGAGTACGATTATTTAATGCTGCGTAGTGTAAATGCATTAGGGTATGATTCGCGTCAATAATTATGTTGGAAAATTCCAAATAGGAGATATAATGTCTCGTCGATAGTCTTGTTGATGCGCCACACACGCCAGTGGTGATAAAGTGCCGTTTCTTTTTCTCTCTCAACAGTCCGTACGTGAATGTGTCTTTTTGGAAGTTATTTTTTTTTGCCTGATTTCGGATTTTATTATATTTATTTTTATTTAATTTTTTTTT